GATTTATCGTGCGAAAAAGTAAAATCATATGGAAAAGTACAACTAACAAAACTATAAACATGTGTCCTAACTTGCTCCGTTTTTTGAGATAGAGGATGTTGAAGTTGGAAGAAGTAATTGTTTTTACTTCTAACCCCCCTTCATAAGCTTCCATGGTGCCAAAATTCAGTATGGTTGGAGACTGAGAAAACCCCAAAATTTCAATGTAATTGTAATTGGTGTTATTGAGTAATCTCAATAATTGAAGTCTTGAAAACACCTACAATCAAATTTTCATCGATTCCTCAAGAACTAAGCTAGATACAAAAATCACACAGGGGATTAAAAAAGTTGTTATTTAAATAGTTCAATCTAATGAAAATATGGAACTCAGAAAAACCATAAATATCGATAAATTTTTCCACTGTGGTTGCACCCGAAGAAGCTCCATATTAGTATTAACAAAACCACAACGTTTTATTGAAATTGATGAAGAGACAATTGGGTAGGTATAATGAATAAAAAAACGATCTTTCATAAAAATATCAATACCCTGTATCTCGAAAACGAAGCAAGTTAGGAGACATGTTGATATGAAGTTTATTTCCTAAAATATCACAAGGAATCACCCCTTGAATTTTTTCGCTGTTATTCAGATACACCCTGTATATATGTCGGTTATAAAAACTGAGACTCAACAAATATGCTATATTCACAATCACCATGGTGACCTCCGTTGTTCAAGTATTTCCGTTTCTCAATGAAACACCCTGTTTGTATAATACGGTACCTATTATACAGGGTGGCCCACGGTCGATGGTACCTTAGACGTATACGGAAAACGGTACATTGGATTATCCTGAAAATTTGGTTACTCTAATAAGCGTTTGTGATCTAACGATTCAAAATATTTTCAGCGAAGCAGCGTTGCCACTTTTACCAAAAAGTAGCATCATATTTGTTATCTCAAATGGAACACCCTGTATTTTATTGCGTTTTTAGATTCTTCTCGAAGAGCTGATTTCATCAATGTATCACACTTGGGGTCTAACAGGAATTATTACAGAGATATAGGGTGTTCAAAATCGAGATTTTTCAACTTTAGGATTTTTTTGTGTCGAAACTATTCATCATTGGTCAAAACGGCTTACATGTCCCCATATTAACTTTTGATTAACTATCTACCGACATTTAATTGGAAAAAATACAGGATGGTCCAAGATTCAGAATTTTGATCACCCTGTATCTGTTCCAATTAATTGTCAGTAGATAGTGAATCAAAAGTTAAGATAGGGACATGTAAGCCGTTTTGATCGATAATGAAAGGTTTCGACACAAAAAATTCCTGAAGTTGAAAAATCTCTATTTTGAACACCCTATATCTCTGTAATAATTCCTGCTAGACCCTGAGTGTGATACATTGATGAAACCAGCTCTTCGAGAAATCTAAAAACGCAATGAAAGACAGGGTGTTCCATTTGAAATAACAAAGATGATGCTACTTTTGGGTAAAAGTGGCAACGCTGCATCGCTGAAAATATTTTGAATCGTTAGATCACAAACGCTTATTAGAGTAACCAAATTTTCAGGATAATCCAATGTACCGTTTTCCGTATACGTCTATAAGGTACCATCGACCGTGGGCCATCCTGTATAATGTATAAAATTAAGTTAAACTCATTCATACACATTCAAACAAAAAAAAAAACATTTCTAAAACACAGTCAATCGAGAATAAGAATAGAGAGAATTCTCATATTATTGATGAAGACTTAATTGTGTGAACACGACCGACATAAATTACTAACTAGACCGCTAATGACTCAAGATCAGAGCTCATACATTTACGAGATCGAACTTGGTTCAATAGAGCGTGCGCATTCAGGACCTGTCATATACAGGGTATGTCACGATGACCTTATTACACTATCCATCTTTATATCGAGAATGAGTCGGGGGAAATCCATGAGAATGTGCATGCTTATATTTTAGAATACGCTCTCTTCATTTAAAATATTTTCGGCAATGCAGTGTTGCCGCTTCTACTAGAAAGTAGTAGCAATATTGATATTTCGAATGGAACACCCTGTATTTTATCGCATTTTTGGATTCTGCCTGAATAGCTGATTTTATCGATATATTACTCGAGGGTGTTCGAAATCGAGATTTTTCAACTTTAGGATTTTCGAAACTATTCATTATCGATTAAAACGGCTTACATGTATATCAATCTCAACTCTTGATTCACCATTTACTGATATTTAATCGAAACAGATACAGGGTGGTTTAAGATTCAGAATTCTTCAGAAATATTAGTAAATAGCAAATCAAAAGTTGAGATAGGGACATGTGAGCCGTTTTGGCCAACAATAAATAGTTTCGACTTTCGACACAAACAAATCCTAAAGTTGAAAAATCTCGAACACCCTGTATCTCTGTAATCATTTCCGATAGACCCCAAGTGTGACGTATCGATGAAATCAGCTCTTCAGGGAGAATCTAAAAATGCAATAAAATACAGGGTATTCTATTTGAAATAACAAAGTTGTTGCTACTTTTTGATAGAAGCGGCAACACTGCATTGCTGAAAATATTTTTAATTATTCTAAAATATGAACCTGCACATTTTCATGGATTTCTTCCGACTGATTCTCGATATAGAGATAGTTTAAGCTCGTCGTGACCCCAAGAGTATATCGAAGACTGGAACCTTTATTGGCACGATCATACACTACACTGTTTTACCACCATCCAAACCGATTTTTTAAACGCCTCGACACGTGTTTCGCTAACTATGTTAGCATCTTCAGGAGAAGATTTAAACTCAATTCTCGAACTCAAGTTTCAATCATCTCCTGAAGATGCTAACATAGTTAGCGAAACACGTATCGATGCGTTTAAAAAATCGGTTTGGTTACTGGTAAAACAGTGTAGTGTAAAGTGTAAACCCAATATCCAGTGACTCTACAAGAGACATATATGACTTGATGACATGACAATAATTTGAATAAATGAAATGAAAACAATGATTAATGAACCTCTATAATATAGTCATCATAAATTATTTGGTAATCATTATCTATATAAATATGTATAATTATCGGGCTGCAATAAACGATTGATAGCTTCCAAACAATGTGAACAAACAAGAATGGCTCGCCAACTAGAATAATACCGATTTCTACCGCACTGGCGCTACGATTATAATTTCGGTAACCAATGGCCGGTAGAAGATCTGACGTTTAATGTTTTTTATCACTGTCACCACTGTCAGAACTTCTGGATAAGAAACAACAGTTAATTATAACTATTCAATAGGCGTACTCGTGAAATAGTTATTTGTTTAACTAGGCAGCAAAGTAGTAGATTGACTGCCGAGGCTGAATTCATAGCCGAGCGTAGCGAGGCTAGGAATCCAGCTAAGGCAGTCAATCTACTTTGCTGCCGAGTTGAACATATAATTTTTTCTCCGATTGTTCATAATGATATATATCCCTTTATTTTTCCTGTAGTGTTCAATTAAAATGAAATTTGATAGAAATCGCAGTTGTTGGAATGGTTGGTTGCTATGGATATGTCCATAATAATTATAGTTTGACAATTCATGAAATTTCTGACAGTTGTGCGAAAAAATATCGGTATATTCAAATTATTATACAATGGACAGTGATAGCGACCTGGAAGTACTTAAACCTCCAGAAATAAGGGAGGTGGCAAAAAATATAGAGTTGAATTTGTTGCCGGAGAAGTCTCGGATAAAATATGAAGGAAATTATAAACGATTTATGGATTATTAATTTTGCTGATACATATCAATCAGCAAAGTAATAACCACCTGCCTAGGCAGGAAAAGTAATACTTTGCTGATTGATATGTGTCTGCAAAATTAATATTTGCTGCCAATCGGAGAAAAATTATTTTTGAATTTGTTTATGCATAATATGATAAATGATTGGTAAAATTCACGAAATTATGGTTTTACCGTCTTATTGAATTTCCAAAGAATGATGAAACATTTTTCGAATGGAACAAAGAGATGAAAAATACAAGAAAAAACTTGACTTACAATCCCCAAAATTTAAAAAAATCCAATACCTACCTCCTCTTCCTATCCTCCATAGGTACGCACGGTGTTTTCCGATCATTATAATATACGTACTTACACGATAGAAATTCCCTTTCAAAAAACAACGTTTTGTGAGCACACTCCTATGAAGATGATTTTATCAGAATCCAATAATGAGAAGAATAATAATCTAAATGCCTAATAAATAAAACGACAGCTGTTGAAGTATTGCGAATTGCAAAAACTAGGTACTTAGTATGTTTGACAGTTCTTGGTCAATGGTTATGTTTGAGGAACTTCATTATTTTCGCGTCTATTTGAAATGGTCGAATACTATTATGAATGTATAAACCGAGAAAAACTCATTTCCTCTCTTATGAATAGTATGCATCCCGAGGACGTCTGGCCCAGGGATAGTAATTACCTGAGGTTATTAAGGCTCATTAATTTCTGCTTGGCAGTCCCCGCGAGGTTAACCCGTCGAGGCGTCGCACCCCTTCGTGGTCACTTTGGAGGTCTGCAAAACATGTCTTTCCAAAGACTCGTTCATGCAACGAACAGCAAGGCTCTGGAACACATTGCCAAGGAAGGTGTTCCCTGAGGCATAGTATCTCCAGAAATTTTAGAAAACCATCAATTTCTACCTTATTTCCCTTGGTTCTCACGATGTTTTCTGACCATTACAGGATATCCCTTTTCATGGGAACCAGAACATAAAAAAAATTCCACCCATACTATTTCTTTGGGTGCCGGTACTGCCGACCTCACGCCCTCTCGTACCGCCGCTGCGGCTATGAACGAGGTCACCTCGGCACTCCGGAGTTCCTTCGTCGGCGTTTCAGCAGTCGCCCATCGGCCAAGACTGTACGTGGTGGTTCCTAGGTACGCCTTTCTCTGTGAACGGTACCACACGCGCGTCTCACAGATTTTCCGCCAGTTTTTACCAGCAATTGTCGAGTGGGTATTCGGTTTTACTTTTGTTGGCGCGTAGACGAGCTGATGACAGTGACAGCTGACGTTTCAGTGAACGTTTTTCGCGCAGAACGATGTGATTTGTGCGTTCGCATTTTTAACCTGGATTAGATATCTAAGCTGAAGTGAGTGGGTATACTAGTAGAGATTATATCATTCCTGAACAGGTTTGGAATGTTATCTGCAGCTATGTTTTATCGTTTTATCTGAAACCGTACAAGTACGAGCAAGGACGTTGAATGTACAGGGTGTTGAGAAATAGCGGTACTGCAAGCACCGAGGGAGAAATTTCGGCGTGGAAAAGATCTATGCATTTTGAATTCTTATTTGTTTTAATTTTGAATTCAGAGGAATTTGATAATTACCTACTTGAGCCATTAGTCTCGTCCAGCTTTCGAATATATACATCGGTGTGTACGATATGTCAACTCACTACACCCTCTTAATATTCGGAACCCGTTTACTGATTTCCCAAGACAAAAATTCGATAATATAGAATTCTAACATTTTCACCGAGCTATCTTTGAAAGTGGACCAAGTTTGTTTTGTTTGTTTCTATTTTGTTGGAAATATATAGGTTATTACCTACTTTTCTGTTCACTACTAAAAGTGCATACTATTTTGACGTCATAGGTTCATTTCATTATCCTTTCTTGGAACTCGTATAGCATAAAATAGATCTCAAACTGAAAAACTGAATTTTTGGCAAGGTTATTTTTACTGATGGAATAAAAATGAACTGGCAACCCAACAGCTGTGTAAAATTACTAATTCACGAAATCTGATAGATTTCACGTATGAATAGGACCGTGATGTGGATATAAGTGTTTGAGGTCGACCAAAAACTGTAATATGCACCTTGGTGAAAAACTGTTTTTTGTCTTGCCTGTTTGATGAATTTGGGGACTATAATATACAGTGTTTCGTCCTTGGTACATAAATAACTATTTCATTCACTTCACTCCAGCAATTACGAGAGCAATTACTTGGAGAATCGAATGGAAAATCGTCTCGACTGACAAAGGGCTACATGTGATCTCGATGTTATCATAATAATATATGTATATACAGATTATGACGAATTGACCTATGGAGTACATTATTATAGTATGGAGAAAAGTTACTGTTACTCATATCTTTACTTTTACTAGATGTGTCCCTTCAAAGAATGTCTACCTACTTCACCGGTTCTATCAAGTCCTTCAGAGTCCAAGAACCAAGCAGATTTTGATAAAGTTTGCGTGGAAAAAGAAAAGATATTAAAATTCGCCACTGAATAACTATCACGTGCACTATATGAGCAGGTATTTCCAGGCCCGGATTTACCTTTATCAGAAGACAATAGGCCCTTGAAAATTAGCTCTCTCTTTTCTCGTGATGGGTCTTGAAAACAAAACAAAAACACAGGAAAAAAACTCAGCAGCCCCACCTACCGCGTCTAATTGTATTTTCAAACCATCAAGGAAACCATCAGATACCCATATAGAATTTCAACCCAATCGATTCAGTCGTTCAAAAGTTATGTGAAAAAGATAAGCACGGAAGGATAATTCTTACACTACCCGTTGTCCTTTTATCCGTTTTCCCGTAGAAATGAAGCAAATTCCCGCGGTAAAAATTAGCCTATATTCATCAGGGATAATGTCGGCTTCTAATGAAAAAGAATATTTCAAATCGGTTCAGTAGTTTCGGAGCCTACCCAATACAAACAATCAAACAGACAAACAAACAAATCTTTGATATTTATCATATTAATATAGATATGGTTAGAATTGCTATTGCAAACAACTCTCTCCTTTCTCGTGGTGGGTCTTGAAAACAAAACAATAACACAGGAAAAAACTTGAAAGAAAAAGGAATGAGAGGAAGGGGATAAAAGCGAACAAGGCATCAGTCATCGCTATTCTCTTTGGTCGAAGTGAAGTAAGGGCGGGGAGGTAACTCAATTTTCCTATGTGCCTGTTTATGTGAAATACAATATCATTATAATATCATTTATCAACTGTTTTACTAAATGATAATTGACAGCTAATCAATTTGGATAATTTTGTTTCGTTAGAAAAAGTATGAGGTACGTAACATTGTCTTTATATTGATGTGCGCAGATTTTTTTCTCTCTTGGAAACCCACCCCTAAAAATTTGCCGCTCTAGGTTAGTGCTCGGCTAGTGTCTATAGTCGGCCTAATGGTAAATCCGGGCCTGGGTATTGGGCTAAAATTTTATAAGGGAGTATTCAGCTATGCATGAATCGAATTTGCTTTGCACTTTTTCGGAAAAAATTGCCGTTCGTCGGTGGTCCAGAATTTCGAAGATAGCTCCTTGAGAAGTGCAGAATTGTAACTTTTGAGTTATTCTAGATAGGGTTTTGGAAATTGGTCGGTAGCAACTATACCAAATTGCTCATTAATTGATGAAACAATTTTTCTTCTATCACTTCCAGTTTTTCCGGAAACGACACCCACTTTTGATCTTTAAATAGGACACCCTGTATTGTATTCCATAATCGGTTAGGGATTATCATGACGAATTCAACGATACCGGGTTTGATAGGGTTATTTCAAACAATAACAAAGATATTTGCGTTCGAAGTTTTTATATGCTCAATGGGTGTGACTTCGCAATATCAAAATTTCTTTCTCTGTCACACTCATTGAGCACATAGAAACTAAGAACGCGAATATCTGCGTAATCGTTTGAAATAACCCTATCAAATTCGATACCTATCGATGAATTCGTGTCCCATTTAAAAATCAAAAGTTGGGGTCGTTTCCAGTAAAACCCTAAGTGATAGAACAAAAATTGTTTCGTCAATCAATGAGCGATTCGTTATGTATACTAGCTACTCACCAATTTTTGAAACCGTATCTCGAATAATCCAAAAGTTACAGTCATAATTTATTTTCGAAAATATATAAACCATAACAAACAATAATATTCAAATGAGTATAAAATATTCTACATATCGTGATGATTTCTGTGAAATTACCTCGCGTTGTTACGCCAGGTTTATGGTGGTTTACAGTTGAGTAACACAAATCGATGTCAAAAACCTCGACCCACCTGGCCCCAAAGTAAATAATCTGCAAATTTATCACGTATCAATTGACAGTTTCGAACTGCATAATGCGGGCGCAATCTGAATTTTGACATGGCTTAATTTGGTCCGTATTGATATAAAAACGACGGCTTCCATATAAGCTCATCGGTATATGATGTTGGCGCGAAACCATTGACCTTTACAAGAAGAAGTAGGTAGTACTAGTAGGTACCTACCTATAGTATTAATTATCGATCTTAAATATAAATTGCCCACTATTTTTCGCAAACGAATTATAATCATTTTTTAATAGAAGATATCGGGATCTCACCATTTAAAAAATCATAAATATTATGACCATACATCATCAAGACTGAGGTAGAACTGTTCGGAAAGATACTGTCGAAGATTTAGTCAACTTAAAAAACGATATCGATGGTAGTTAGGAAGTTATTCGAAAAAATCGTCTGATGACAAGAGGTGGATCATGCATTATGTTACACCATCTCAATTTTTCTCGCCTCTTCAATTCCTCCTACTGGACATAATACGAGGTTTAATATTATTCCTTATACAGCTCTTCGCTCCTATTGTCAAATCATCAACTCTTTTGTTTTAGATCTAGCCTTGAAGCTATTGACTGTACTAGGATAGACATTTGACTATTTGATTTATGAAGTTAATCTTTCATTGAGCTCCTATATTACAATATCATCTTTGGCAATAACATCTAAAATTACATGACTAGTGTCTGTCTAACCCAGTGACATTGAGTTCATTGGTTTAACCCATATGCTTTAACCAATTCGTCTCGTGGGTGATGTCTCGCTCACAAACTCACTCACTTCTCTGGAACACCGTAGAAAAGTTGGCGATCTGGCTCTATTTTATAGATATTTTCATGGACGATGCTCGTCTGAAATATCAACAATTGTTCCTCCCTTGGCAGTCCCCGCGAGATTAACCCGTCGAGGTGAGGCTTCGCATCCCTTCGTGGTCACTTTGGAGACCTGTAGAACATAATTATCTTTCCAAAGACTCGTTCATCCAACGAACAGTGAGGCTCTGAAACACATTGCCAAAGGAGGTCTTCCCCGAGGCATATAACCTCCAGAAATTTAAGAAGAACACCAATTCCTACATTATTTTCCTTGGTTCTCACGATGTTCTCTGAACCTCAAACCTCAAACTCCCCCCCCCCCCCAAACTGGGTTCACATAAATTTTGAAGAAAGAATGAAATAAAGTGTCTCAAAGGACAGGGGCCTGCCAATTTTCAGAAGATTTGATCCTTTATTTTAGTCACAATGTCAGAATATATTTTTTCTATACCCAACTTACAGTGACTGTAACTCAGAAGGGTGAATTTTAGGAGACATGTTTATATGAAGAAAAATTCTTATTTTGATCCCAACAATATGTCCTTAAAATATTTATATCGAATTTTGAATCACCCTGTATATATAGGTACCTGAAAATGTTATGCATACTGAAACGACTAGAGTTGATGAAAAGTTTTCCTGATCATAGGTCAGATAAGGCGTGTTTTAAATTCCATAATAATGATTCATTGTAATAGAATCTCTCTAGTTTCTTGATCGGGCATCATATAATAATTTACCAGATAATTTTAAATAGGTACTCCACGTGAGACAACATTTTTATGTAGAAAGTTGTGCTCGATCGAGCATCAATTGTTTATTATTTAATACAAATCAGATCATATTAATTTGTTTTCACTAATAGTTCTCACGTTTTAATCGCTCCTTGTTTTCTGTCATATCTCCATATCTGGACTGACGCTGTTGTCCCCATTCAGAAGAATGCGGTTTCTTCTAGTTTCTTTTCATAAGGGTGCTTTTGTTTCCCTACAATGTTCACAAAGCTTGCAATTCCATTGTATCTGAAGATAGTGAGTGAGACTTCAAGTTTTTCTCTTTCAATATTGTCTCATCAGTCATCACATCCCATTCGAGCATGGTCTACTACCAGAGATTTTTCTTATATTTGTCATATCTTCCAGTCACCTGCTTATGATCTATAAGGCACAGATCCGGCCTGTCCTGGAATACTATTCCCATATTTGGA